AACAGTTTTCAGGGGCCAGTCAGAATTTGTAAAGTTTGATTTTATCGGCTGGTAGTTTTGGAAGGGAAGGAAAAACGCCGGCATCAAACCCCTAAACCGGTGTCCATTGTGATGATAGCAGGAAACGCAAACATAGACTTCCTCAGGAAAGGGTATGTCTTCTATGTTTCCCTCCTTTGGTAGATTAGAGACGACTCCCACTCCTTTAATTTGAAAGTGATAAATATGTTCTCTTTATAAACTTACAGCCTGGGAGATGGGATCAGTTCATCTGATATAGAGGAGCCTATGAAGAAAGAACCAGATCTCGACAACATGAAACGAAAAGAGCCTTCCCCATGTCAGTCTGATGACCTTTCGTTGTGGACCTCTCTACGCTTGCTATCCCTCAATCTGATGACTCTGTTGAGGTCACTGCCGCAGCAGGTGCTGAACAAACTGGCGACCTTGAAGCGCACCCTGACAAGCAGTCAGAGAAGGAAGGGAAAACCCCCGACGTGAGAGTAAATGTTGGAGATGGAGTAAAGCCAGCAGATGGAGTAAAGACAGCAGATGGAGTAAAGACAGCAGATGGAGTAAAGGCAGATGATGTTTGTACCTAAAAAGGGAAAATCATTTTCGAGCGGGAGGTTATCAGTCTTACAGAAAGTGAACAGGAGGAGCGCAGTCATTCAGTCTAACCACTAAAACTTGCACAGTTTCGCCCCTTTGCTCGCGCTAAAAAAAAAAACTTTGCACAGCTTTTGCCCTTTTTGTATGTGAATTAATAAAAATATTGTCAAACTCTGATTTTTATTTACATATAACTATATATTACTATCTTCTCTAGTCTAAACATATATATATATATATATATATATATAAAAATATATATATATAAAATATATTATATATATATATATATATATATATATAAACAATATCGCACCACAAAAACCTCTCCCCATCTGAGAGTGGGTAAGAGGAAAATATATATGCAAAGTTCCTAAAAGAGCTTACAGCACAAAGGTCTTCCCTAGATGCCTTTTCACTGTTTTAAAAGCCCCCCCCACCTGGAAAATCTAGCAGCTGTTTACAAAAAATGCGTTAAAAAAAGTTAGAGATCTCCATGAATACTAAAAGGATGCCCTTCTAGCATCCGCCTGTTACTGGTTTTCGTAACAAGTAGTCAGTATCCTTGTCCAATTATCCATTAAATTCAGTATTATTCAATATTTTTTAGGATTACAACTGGTAGGCTACTAATATTATTATTATAATCAAAAAGAAGCGCAAGCCCAAAAGGGCTATAAGCTGGTACAAACTAAGAAATTTAAAATTTAATAAATTTATTAATCTGTAAGTTGTCTAAGGTTTTTTACAAAGAAAATTAAATCAAGCAATAAAAATAAAATCAATCTCTCGAGTTAAATATTTTTGTGCTAAAAGCAATATCACTTTTTAAAATTCTTAAGTACCGTCGGGTACTTAACATTTAAAAGATATTACAAATAGTAAAAGGGGTTTTTGTATGCATGTAGGTGCTTTTTAAGTGTTAGCTATGTCTCAAGACTCGAATAAGACTTAAACAAGTGATGACAAAGCCCCCAAATAAACTAACTTCTTGCCCCGACTGGCAACCCGAACATTTGTTTGAAAAACAAAAATGCAAAAAGCCCAATAGAAATCAATATCAACGACTGGCACAAAATCAGAACAAGGAGTAATATAACGACACTAAGTAGGGACCATCTGCAGATCCTCCAAAAAGTTACAAACTTCCATAATACTGAATCATGTTCAGCATAGAAAACTTGACTGTACAATACACAGGAACCAACAAAATTGGGTCGAACTATAGTAAGGACCTGAGATGTTCAGAGTGTCTAAGTACACAAAACCCTCAGTACAACGCGAAAATCACAAAGTCTTTACAATGTTCTGTGAAAAAGTTCTACAAACTAAAAGAAAAAATAAACAGACAATTTTCCCAAACCAGAAAGCGAGTCTACAGCAGACTGACTATTCACGGAGGTGAGGCACCCCCCCCTCGATCACGTGATAGCTACGTGGAAAACTGCAGCTCAGAACCGGCAGTTAATGACAAAAGGATAATTAATATTTGAAATAAGACAAAACGAGCACATTTTATATACACCTAACAACAAAAGCTAAATAACAATAACATCAAATAATAATTAAAGTCATACTTTTACATTTAGCATTATCGCAAAAATACAATATAAAATTAAATGAAAAGGTAATATACATTATATATACATAATAACATTGTAACCCATTCAGGGGTTGAACACCCCCCCCCCCAACACGACAGAGGGTCCATAGGGTTGCTTAAATGTTTTTCATATTATTTCTGTTACTCAATCAATATTATATAATATAAAAATTATTTAGAGTCACTCTCGCCCAAGCACCTCACAATTTCACAGCGTCCGTCCTAGGTGTACTAGGGCAGTACCAGTTCGTATCTCTGCTACTCGTGGTTTGTACATCAGTGTAGAACAACGCTGAAAAGGGGGGCACGTTGGGGGCTCGATCAAGTAGAGGAGACTGCATCCACTCTTAAGTAGTGGTTGTGGAATGTGGGCAGTATGAACTCTGAGTATGAAAATTTAAAGGTGTGAGTGAGGGGGGGTCTGGGGAGGACAGTTTGCGTCACGCTACATCCCCCACCACACTACTCACTCAACATCGTTTTCTCCTCCTCACACAAATTTCTGTGAATAATAAATTAAAAAATTAGACATACATGGTATATATAGTTAATAAAGGGCTGGAGGGATTAATTTTTTTTTACTGAAAATTTTAGATAGCAAATAACGAAAGGGATTGGGCATAAAATTACGTAAATTTTAAATGGGAAGTCCCAAATACTCGTCAAAAAGTTCAAAGGGCACCACAAGAGCATAGCATAAATTTTTTCTGGTGTCGTTTGAGCTTAGATAATAGTAAAATATAGGATGGGAATATCTGATGTTGACTGTTGGAGCAGCACAGCGCCACTGCATAACAACTCGCATCTAATGTAAAAAGAAGGGGAAAATTGAAATTGGACTAAGATGGAGCAGAGGAAAGCGATCTTCAACTTTTGAACGAGTCGAACAAACTCTAGTCCGGTGAATGAACTTTGCTCAGACCTTAGTGGAGGTTAGGTGGGGGTTGTGCCTGGGGTTTCCTGCAATCGACACACTGGCAACGTCGCACATGATCACTACTGTTTCCCTTTATCTTTGGCCAAGTAAAATGTTTTGCCATTTACCGAGTGTCTTTTTGCACCCCAAAAGTCCTCCTATGGGACTATTGTGAGCAAAATCAATGGCTTGTTCACGAAAAGTAACTGTTAAAACTGCTAGATGCTTACTGTGTTGGGAAAAAAAATCACTGACAAATTACTGTTTTTTTTCCATCATACCCCGTTACTATAAAGTAACAAATTTTCGGTCCTTTCTTCACTCTCAGTAAATGCTATATCTCTCAGTCTTTTCCCTGACTGACAACAAACTGATCCTTTGATTAAATCTCATGAGTTTGAAATTAAAAGTCAGTTTTTTCTTGACTAGGGTTTATGACCGGGGGGGGGTCAGTGTTAATGCCTGGGGGCAGAGCGCACTAAAAAACATATTCAACCCCCCAAAACATTGTCATCAACAACTCAAAAAGAACAAGGATGGGGTTTTGAATCTTTGACATACTCTAGAAAATTGCACTGAGAGGAAATAAAATAGGGTTTTCCCCACAAGCTTTAATGGGGATAATTTTCACAGTGGGATTTTCAATCCAAATGGTTCTTTTTCATAACCAGCAGAAGGATACGTTCCCTATCAAAAAGTCCATGACCCGATGGGAAAACACCATGGTATACCCCCTGAAAAAATAACCATATAAAGCTTGTTTCAATATAAATTTTTGAGAGGGACTTTTTTAACAGCCCCCCCATAGGCTTTAACAATACATCCCACCTTCAATAGGATCGTCAGTTATGGGATACATCTTCTCTTTAAAAACAGATAACTGGCCGTGTCTCTGAAGGGAAATTTTTCAGTTAGAGGGGTTTGTCAAACCTACTTTATCTCTCGAAAAGTAAGGGCCATCCGAAGAATCTTTTGTAGAACACTTTTGACCCTTAGTCATCTTATCCTGAAACATTTTCTAAAAACAGTAGGTTCAGAGGGTTGCTAGGGTTTTGTCCTTTTGTTGCTCGGAAGAGGGTACGCTTGAGTGGGGGGGCCAGCCGCACGAATGTTTCTCGTCTCTTTTTAACTTTAAACAATATCTCTAGTATTCCTTTTCGTTACAATAGGTACATTTAACTTTCTTCTTCTCGATATCAGATTTCTGTCTAGCCACAGAGACAGATTCAGGATTGTGAGTTTTCCTGGTAAAGGTACGAGAAGTTACAGTAGCAGGTACATCAGGCCGGCAATGAGCAGCTGATTTAGGTTGCCAACTTCTAGGACAATTTTAGTTACCTTGTTTCTTTGTGTTTTAGTACGTACAAGTTTGTGAGAAATCTCGTAATTGTCTGCTAATGCTGCAGTTTCCAGAATATCCGAGGTAGTATGATCGATCAGATATTCTTGTATGTCAGCAGGCATACAGTTGTGAAACTCTTCATGTAGTAACAACTGAACAAGGCTGTCATAGTTGTTACATTTAGCAGCTCTACACCACCTCTGAAATGCAACTTTTTTCTCACGAGCAAACTCTACACAAGTTTGATCTTGTCGTCGTTGTAACGTACGAAATGCTCTCTGATAACTTACAGGTAACAAGTTATATGTCTCTAGAATAGTTTGTTTGACAGCGTCATAACTAATGTACTTGGCAAATGGCAAAGCTGCAGTACAGGTTTGAGCTCTTCCTGTCAACGCTGTATGCAGCAATGTTGCCCAATGCTTACGTGGCCAGTTCATAGCACGTGCCTGGTTCTCAAACACATCAAAATATGTGTCTAAGTCACTTTCAAAAAACTTAGGAACCATGGATGCAGCTTTCTGCACATTTTAAAATTGTGTCCCTGTGATATATCAGTCTGTTGTCTTAACAGACGAACATTTTCTCTTTGGAAATCTTCTTCGTTCAATCTCCTCTGTGCCTCAATTTGTGCAGTCTGCAACATAATGAGGCGTTCCAACCTCTCAAACTGTTCCTGAGAGATAGGACCAGTGGGTAATGGAGGAGTAGGGAAATTAACATGGTCTGGACGGTCCTTAGGTCGGACACTTGGTACAGCCGTCTCTAGAGTGTCTAGATCTGGTCTAGGATAAGTAAATACAGGTGTAGTATACACTGTACTAGTATTAGGCTGTGTCATACTACCAGCTATACTCTGTACTATAGTGTCAGTGAAGGAAGGAGCCAGCGAGAACTGAGCTACACTAGGCTCGGACACTAGGCTCACTTCTGCTCTAGTTGCTCTTTCATCTTCATCAAATAGAGTCATACCTCCTAATTGTGACACTAGACTTTCTGAATCAGAATCATAATCAGACATCTCTGTATGAGCAGGAAACAATATATCTTTAATTAATGCTCTGACAGTTTCTGCGGTGTAATTCCTGTTATACGTCACACCGAGATACTTGGCTACTCGCCAACACGTCTGAAGTTTTAATGTACTTAACTCAGACAAAGTCAGAGTATCAATTAACTGTTTCACTTTAGCATACATCACGAAAATAATTGTACTACGAGAGAGTGATTATGGAAAACTATAATCCTAATAGGAATTTTAGTGTTGGTTGTCTTAGAGTTAGAACTCAAACAGTATTTCCATCTCCTTGGATCAAGAGACTCAGTCAGGTACATACATCCACCTGGTATGTTGTACAAGACTAAACTCAAAGTCTTCAGATTAGGAAAGTACTCAAAGTGTTTGATCATAGAAGTACTAGTATGTCAAACTGGACAATTTCTCCAACACCTTGGATCAAGAGCCTCCCGGACAGTTTCTCCAACACCTTGGATCAAGAGCCTCCCGGACAGGCCCCCATTTGTTACAAAAAACGCGATTCTAAAAGCTTAGAGATCTCCAGTGAATACTAGAAAGGACTGCCCTTCTAGCATCCAGCCTGTTACTGGGTTTTCGTAACAAGTAGTCAGTATCCTTGTCCAATTATCCATTAAATTCAGTATTATTCAATAGTGCTTTAGGATTACAACTGGTAGGCTACTAACTAGAGAAATTAAAATTTAATAAATTTATTAAGTCTGTAAGTTGTCTAGAGGTATATTATCAAAGTAAATTAAATCACAGCACTCAAAATAAAATCAATCTCTCGAGTTCAATATTATTGTGCTGAAAGCACATATCACATTTATAATTCTTAAGTACCGTCAGGTACATTAACATTTAATAAGATATTACAAATATGTACAAGTGTGTGTATGCGTGTAGGTGCTCTTAAGTAGTTAGCTATGTCTCAAGACTCGAATAAGACTTAAACAAGTGACTGACAAAGTCCTCAAATAAACTAACTTCTTGACCGACTGGCAACCCGAACAGTCTGCTTGAACAACAAAGAATGCTAAGCCCAATAGCAATGCAATATCAAGCGACTGCGACACAGAATCAGGAACAAGGAGATAATATAACGACACTAAGTAGGGACCATCTGCAGATCCTCCACAAAAGTTACAAACTTCCATAATACTGAATCTATGTTCAGCATAGGTAAAACTGTGACTGTGACAATACACAGGAACCAGTACAAAATTAGGTCAGAAGCTATAGCTAAGGACCTGAGATGTTCAGAGTGTCTAAGTGACACACAACCTCAGTACAACGTCGAAAATCACTAAGTCTTTACAGTGTTCTGTGAACAAAGTTCTACAGAACTAACAAGAATAATGAGACAGACAATCTGTCCAACCAGCAAGCGAGTCTACAGCAGACTGACTACTTCACGAGAGGTGAGGACACCCCCCCTCGATCACGTGATAGCTACGTGGACAACTGCAGCTCAGAAGCCGGCAGTATAACGAGCGACAAGCGATAATTACAGTAGTTTGACAATCAAGACTAACTGAGCACATTTTATATACATCCTAACAACATAAGCTAAATAACAATATAACAGTCAAATAATAATATAAAGTCATACATTTACGATTTAGCTATTATCGCAAATATAAGCAATATAAAATTAAATGAAAAGGTAATATACATTATATATACATAATAATCATTGTAACCCATTCAGGGGTTGCAACAGCTGCAAGAATAAACAGTACCGTAGTACCCGGAAGAACCTTTTTTGCTGAGGTACGGGTGGGCGAGCAACATTCCCTCGAGACCAGCTACCCTCCATTACCGCGTTCTTTAAACCCATCAGTGTTGTGAAGTAGCAACAGTTGCGTCAGTGAGTTGCAGACCGGGGAACTCCCTCGGAGATGGCAAGCTTGTACCCAGTCACCTGAATCCTTTGTACTGCCTCTCCCATCTATCAGAGTGATAGAGTTTGGGGAGTCAGAAGTGATCATTACCTACCTTCTTATACTTAGTAATACACAGAAATAAGTCTCTCTATCCCCTTGGGGGATGATTAAACATATTAAACTTGTACCCTGACAGCCCTAGGGTTATGCAGACCCCCCATTATCACATTCTTTTCCACACTCATTATCCTGGAATCTACCACCCGGTCACCTGAATCCTTTGTTCTACTTCTGTTCCTACTTAGTAATGCATAGGAATATGCATCCCCTTGGGGGATGATTAAACATATTAAACTTGTACCCTGTCAGCCCTAAGGTCATGCAGACCCCCCATTATCACATTCGTTTCCATGGTCATTATCCTGGAATCCGGCAGTGTTTTTAGATCGACCACTTTACTCTACTACCATGAGTGTAAATATTACCATGACTGCAGAAAGTCTGCAGTAATTAATCATAAGTCATTCATTCGTCTCTCAGCCCTTGAGTAGAGAGGACGTGTGCTGCTGCTACCCCCTGGTGTTGATTAGTGGCAGTTATATTTTCACAGCATGGCGCAGGCAAGCCGGAGACGCATAAACACAGTCTGTGTTGAGCTTATCCGTGGGGCTGTGACAGGAACTTCTATGGACCTGATACTACCTGCAATCATACGAGACACATATGGTATTGCTAACGAGGAGATATATGGAGTAGCGCTGAATGGCACGACGAGGATCTTTGTCAAGTTTAATTTGGCAAGTGTGTATGAGGCGGTTGTAGACAAGTACCAGGAGGTTACTTTGACGGTTAACTCCGCTGTGACCATGCGACTTCACGACGTTTCTCGCCATTAACAGGGGGGTAAGATTAGAAATGTGCCATTCGGGCGGATGATTCTGACATCCGTCTTGCGATGGGCAAATATGGTACAGTACAATGGCCACTGTTGGGAAGGGGCCACTGGGCCATACGCGGGGAAAAACTCGAAGGAACTTTATTCTGTGAAGATGACGTTACGTTACCCTATTCCGTCGTACGTAGTGCTGCCAGAATTTCGTACCCAGGTGTTTGTGACATACGCTGGGCAACGCCGGACCTGTCGGTTATGTGGGTCATATGATCACCTAGCGGCTCTGTGTGAAAGGAGGCGGGGGCAACATGGAACAAAGGCAACGACATACAGCAATAGAGAAGAGTGAGGATTTGCCTTATGTGACTCTGCCTACACAAGGTGGGTCCTGGATGAGGAAGGTCAAAGAGAGCGGAGGAGATGGAGTCAGCGGGTTTGTGACGAGGGGGGGACACCCCTTCATTGAACGCAGCTCAGGTGTTTGGAAGAGAAAACCCCGACTGCGAGTGCTAGCGATGTGGAAGCCCTCATTAGCCATGGCTTTAAATGTGTTATTGGCTGACAAGAGTATTGGGAAGGTTGGGAGTCCAGATCTAGTTCTTGGGTCTGTTGTGGATTCGGGCGGGGAAACAGGATCTGAGGTCTGCGCAGTGTGATAAGAATATTGTGATGCAAGCTGTGGAGGTGGAGGTCCACCGGGACAATGTATCAGACGACATGATCAAGCAGAGGGAGCATCACGGAAGCGCGCTGCTGCGCTATCTGACTCCGAGGACGTGATCACGCTGCTCAGCGCACTGGCAAAAAGTCCTGGGCGGAAGTTACGCAGAGAGGACACAGCGGCCCAAAGGGGCAGGAGTTGGTTAAGAGCGTTTTCTAAAGGGGGGGAGGGGACCGAGGTGTCACGAAAACGATCTGGTGGCAAGACGTACCAGGGTCAAAAGGAAAAACCACTCTGTAAGCTTCAAGTGCATACGTTGAACATTAATGGACTGAGATCAGAGAGAAAGTGTGTATGGTTTAGTGAATATTTGGTGCGTAATAGGTTGACGTGGTTGTTCGTGCAGGAACACAACTACAGACCAGGTTATAGTTGAAGGTAAATGGGTATAATTGTATGTGGAGCATGCGAAAAGGTTGAAAGGAGGAATTGCCATCCTGGTAAGGGAAACTAGCCCGTTCATAGTGAGGCATTGTGAGGGTCGGGAGGGGAGGGTGATTCGTGTAGTTTGGGTGGTGGGGTAGGGTACAGATGAGTTTGGTGTGTGTGTATGGTCCAGCAGAGGAGATGTGCGTATTAAGAATAAATTTGTGAAGGATGTCCTTAGTATATTATTTGCGTGCTTTGCCGGGTGTAGCTGTAATTGGTGGTGATTGGAATTGTGTGATAAGGCGTAAGGATGTGGAACCTAGAGGGGCAGGGTATTGTTTGGGGATTTTGGGGGAATTTTTAAAATGGAGTGGGGTTAATGGACGTTGGACGGGGTGGGTTTGCAGAACATACTTTTGTTAGACGTGGATATGCGGCAAGACTGGATCGATTGTATGTGCCCCCCGAACAGTAATAGTGAGCAGAGTGCGTGTGGTGGACGCGGTTTTTTCGGATCACAGAGGAGTAATGGTGGACCTAGAATGGGAGGGATTGCCTAGAAGGGGTCAAGGTTTTGGAAGTTAAATGTGAAGTTTTTGGGCAGGGTGAGGAATGTCGTCAGTCTTTTGCGCAATTGTGGGAACGGTTGGTGGGATGAGGCGCCGGGGGATGATGAACTGGAAATTGGTGGGATTCGGTGGCTAAAAATCGTATCAGAGAATATTATATTTGTCGTGGGAGGGAAATAAATGGGTTTTAAAGTATGGGTTTTCAAAGATATCTTAAAGGGGAAGCTGTGGGACTGTTATGCAAGAGGAGGAGCAAGCTATCCAGTGCAGGACACTGAGGGTTTAAAGGAGAGTATTAGGGTATTGCAAAACGAGCGTTTTGATGGTGCGCGAATTATGGGAGGATTGGAAGAAGTGCTATGGGGTGACCGGCGGTCGGCTTGCGTGTTTAAGAGGCCAGAGAAAAAGGAGAGTGACGATGGAGATGATGGGGTTAAAAAGTACATGTAGGGATGGAAGGGTTAGAGCGGGTCAAGCATTGGTAACGACAGAGGGTATGAGTGGATATGTAGACGCTTGGGTTTTAAATCATATACGCAAAGTGTGGGCTTTCCGTGAGGTGGCATTGAGGGAAATGGGAGAGTATGTGCAGTGTGAGCTTGATGGTCAAGATCGGGTGGGCATTAGGTGGGCCGATTACGGAAATGTGAGATTTGGCAGGCGTTGTCAGGAGTGAGTTTGGGAAAAGCGCCGGGTATAGACGGACTGCCAAATGATTTCTACGTAAAAAAATTGGGGGTTCTGAGGTTTTTTTAGTAAGGCTGTTAACATACTTAAGGGGGGCTGAGGTAATGGGAGAGCACAACGGGACGGCCGTTGTGTGTTGGTGCCAAAAGGGGAGCAGTCAACGGTAATGGATTATCGGGGACTTTCGCTTATGTGTGGAGATTATAAGTTGTTTGCGAGAATATTTAGGGAACAGAATCAAGAGGGTAATAGGCAAGGTAATTGATAGGGGGCAATATGGGGGGGCCAGGAAGGTCGATGTATGAAGGGCATGGCATGATTCGAGAATTTATAGAGAAACAGGGGGAGTTGGGTGATGGAGGTGTATTGGCGTTTTGATTGGAAGGCTGCTTATGATAGTGTAGAAAGGGAAGGGTTATGGAGGTTTATGCGTTGGCAAGGTTTTGGGGGAAGAAATAATATCTTGGGCAAAATTATTGTATCAGGGGCATCGATGAGGGGCAGGTTAACGGGAGGCTAGGAGTTAAAATACAGATGCGACGGGACTTTCGCCAAGGCTGCCCACTATCAAAATATTGTTTGCGTGGGATACAGGATCCATTTTATAGGGCCATTCGGAGGTGTGTTGCGGGAGGTGGGGAGGGTACTGACGGGGGGAGGGGGGGGCTGGTATCGTAGGTTTTTGTGGATGACACGACTGTTTTGGTGAGAGGTAATGGGGATTTGCTTAGGGTGGGTAAGGTGGTGGATGTGTTTGGGGAGGCTAGGTATGAAAATTAATGTTGAGAAAACTAAGTTTCAGACTTAAGGGATAGTACAAATGGGGATGAAGGGGTAGGGGGGGGTGGAAGGTGGTGGTCAACTAATGATATGTGGGATAATTTATGTGAGAAAATAAAGGGTGGCTCAAGAGGTGAATTCGGTGAGAATAGTGAATGGAGTATTGAAAAGACTTGGGGGGTTTTAGGCGGCCCCAACTAACGCTGCATCAAAGAGTAATAGTGACGAAGTGCTATTTACAGCAAATATGGCATGTCGTTTTTCATGTACCCGCTGATGAGACTGAGGTGAAGCGTTTACAACATTTGGGTTTTTAGGTTTATATGGGGAACGGGCTGCGAATGGTTAAGTAGAGCGGTGTTAACACTTTCCCGGGCAGTCGAGGAGGGCTGGGACTTTTACCTCTGAAAAAAGGATGATGAGCGTGTACCTAAAACGGTTATATAAGGGAGGGGTGCGGGAGGGGAGGTGGACTTGTGAAAAGTACGTAAGGACATGCAAAACGTTGGTGGGGGGGTAGGGATTTAATAGTTGGTGAGGCCATGTTTTAGGTTTTTAATGACAGTGAGGGATCCGTCGTGTGTTAAACTGCGGGTCCTCGAAGGAGTGGAAGGTAGGTCAGTGGTGGCTCTGTTGAAGGGGCATACCCTATGTATGCGTGGAACGAAATATGGACGCGTCTAAAACAATTACGTGTAAAACCGGGTGTTCGGGAGGTAATGTTTAGATTTTTACATGGAAATTTTGCCGTCTGGGGTTGTCCTATTCAATAGGAGGAT